AAAAACGGCTGAAAAAAAGACTAAGTCCCATCGCCGAATGGGACTTAGTCTCTGCAACTGAAATAAGGCTGAAAAAAACGGCTGAAAAAAAGAGTAAGTCCCATCGCCGAATGGGACTTAGTCTCTGCAGCTGAAATAATTTCCCATTTACTGAATCAAGTGGGAAATAGCAAGGCAGGCACAAAGGGTTTGCACCAGGTCTGGGGACACAGGGGACACCGTCTTAAAGGGGCCGTGTCCCCAACAAGTCTGGGGACACGGCCTTAAAGGGGCAGTGTCCCAATCTTCCTGATGTCCCAAAAAAGGTGTTTTAAGGGCCAGCACCAGTCACATAAAGAGTCCATAAGCCCCAATATGCCCACCGACAGTCTTAAAGGGCCATACACACCAAATAAAAGTGCATACATTTTTCACAATCTCCCAGGGGCCATAGTCATGCGGGAGGAGGCTGGCAAATAGGCTTCTCCACAACCCAGGGAAGCAGGGCAATTTGCCATTTAAAGGGCCCGTTACAAATAGCAGTTTGTAACAAGGTGTCAATCCATATCTGCCAAGTGACCCGATGTAGGGGGACCGGTCCCTATTCTGCTCTGTGTCAGTGTGTATCAGGGAACCTTAGGACAGGTGTCAATCCATATCTGCCAAGTGACCCGATGTAGGGGAACAGTCCCTATTCTGCTCTGTGTCAGTGTGTATCAGGGATCCTTAGGACAGGTGTCAATCCATATCTGCCAAGTGACCCTATGTAGGGGGACCAGTCTCTATTCTGCTCTGTGTCCGTGTGCATCAGGGGCTCTGAGGACAGGTGTCAATCCATATGTCAAGGTGTCAATATGTCATATGTCAGGTGTCAATCCATATTGATTGTGATTTAGGAATGTTAGGTGATTTCTGCCCTTTATGGATTAAAACCAGACTCTGTATCAACTGTGTAATTTTCCATGGGAGTTTTGCCATGGATCCCCCTCCGGCATGCCACAGTCCAGGTGTTAGTCCCCTTGAAACAACTTTTCCATCCCTATTGTGGCCAGAAAGAGTCCCTGTGTGTTTTAAAATTCGCCTCCCCATTGAAGTCAATGGCGTTTCGGGCGGTTCGCCGGTTCGCGAACACTTGCGGAAGTTCGCGTTCACCGTTCGCGAACCGAAAATTTCGGGTTCGCGACATCACTACTTCACACTAGCAGGAGCGCAGAAAGTTTCACAACATAACTAATGATACAAAATAAAACTACATTTTAAGATGTCAGAGAACAGGGTCAAAGGGATGAAATTAACAATCTAATATGACCTGTTCATTTTTATTTTAAATAAACCTATTCTGATAAATTCATGTAAATAAGAAAAATAAAAAGTATTTTGCAGTATTTTATTAGCTGTTCAAACCTATTAATACCAATGCAAAACATAACAACCAGTGTAATCACTGCCTTTAGAAATTACTATTAGAATGACATTTATATCGTTTCAGTGAAAAACTATAAAACTTTTTCTGGAATTATCTATAGGAAACTATTCAACAGAGATGCTGCCTATCCTTCACTTTAAAGTATGGAAAAGGTAGAAAGTTAGTTGTTGACTGTGGGACTTTTAGGACGTGTATTTTGTCACTGGTGACGAGAGATAGGCCTTTTGAAATTCTCGGTTTATCGCCAATACACTATCCTTCTTTATTTCATCTTTTATGTTTCCAAATATTTTTTTCCTTTGGTTTTTTTTTTTAAATCCTTTTATTTCTTTCACATAGAAGTTGTATTCACAAGAGCAAGAACTGATAGAACTGACATGCTGTACAAACAGATCAGTTAAACAGATAGATACTGTGTACAAGAGCTCATTCTCTGGATCAACCCATTAACGATAGCTAACCTTCAACTCAAAACCGTCATAAAGTGACAGTCAGTGTGGAAACATGATGCACGCCGAGGGCACCCCAGCAGTAGCGTCTACCAGAGTTTTCCTTTACCATACTAGTTAGGCTAATATTAATATTAGGAGGGAGTGTCTATCCTTCCCTGCACTGGAATAAGGTCGACAAGAGAGAGCAGCATAAAAAGAGATGAGATGAGTAGAAAAGAAACAAGAGGAATTCTAGTACCTGGGTGAGCAAGCGTCCCCGTAGCCCCTGCACGTCTCCCGCCTGTACAAACATTATAAATCACGCACCACATAAACAAACCACAGCTGCCAGGCCTCAGCATGTCTGGAAGCATGCCGAGCAGAGAGGCATGCATCGCCTCAGATGCCTGTATATCCTCCATGCTTCGTAACCAGGCCTCTGCAGGACCTCCTTGGTCCTCACCATGTCACAGAAGAGAACTATGACCAGATATTCCCACCATATATGCCACATCGCGCCTCTATCAGACTAACATCTCCAGCAGGTGGGCGGCACAGTAGGATAGATCCTGTGGAGAAGGGTTGGCAACCTATACCAGAGCGATAGTATTTTATAGTAAATTTCCTGGTACTGTGAGCTTATAGAGCTCTTGTGTTGCCACAACAGCACCCTGTCCCACTATGTAGCCGAAAAAGATTTGCTGATTAGTTCTTCCCATTGCCTTTGGAACTTGTTGTTCACAAGGCTGTTTCCCACCAGGAGGTATTGATAAAGCATCAAAACCACCTTCTCAAGCACCGAACCTCGCAAGCAGAGCTCCTCAAACCACGTGAGGCTCCTGTGCAGTTTATCCCTCTGTGGTCGTGTATGAATATAGAGTGATCAAGGAGCTTTGCGGCTTCCCATCCAGTAACACATCCAGCGCACAGAGTTGACCATCCCGTAGTGCCCGGTGAATAAGGATAAAGTCACCTTCCCCGAAGAACTGCCAGGCCAAAGGTGATAACCTCGGCCAACTTTAACGTTATCAGTCACTGGTAAGAGGGGGCTAGGTGTAGGTGAGACATGGGACAGTTCGCGGACGCGTTTGCGAAACTGGCACCATGCCCTCAGATCCCCCCATCCTTATAGTCGATGACAAGGGAGCTCTCATTTCACCCTTGTCCACTCTTACCCATTGTTTTTGTGGTGATAGCAGATGACAATCCAATATCCATTGTAAAACAGTGGCCTGATTATATCTTTTAAAGTCAGGTAGTGCCAAACCTCCCCTATGTCTAGGTAAACAAAGCAAATAATGAAGAAGAAAGTAGCCTGCGGGGTGAGTGGGCCAGTCTGGAAGAGGTATAATACCCGCAGGAGCATGTTCATTTTAACTACTGACACTTTACCATGCCAGGACACATGGGGGTATGACCATTTCCACAAATTCGCTAATATCATCTTCAATAGGGGAAGGAAATTGCATTGATATAAATCTCACGGATCCGTGGTAACCCGTACTCCTAAATATTTCCTTTTACCTTAGCATCAGTGGAACAGAAATACCGCATCTAATGCTGCATAATCGCTTGCTGGCAACGTGACGTTCAGTACTTCACATTTCGGCATATTGAGTTTAAATCCAAATAACATGCCAAACCTCCTGAATTCTGACAATAGACAGGGAAACATGATCCTTGTATTCGTCACAAAGAAGAGGAGGTCATCTGCATAAGCAACGACCTTATATTCCACCCCCTGCAGTACATATCCCCGAATATCCGTATTTTGGCGGAACGCCTGAAGCAGAGGTTCAAAGGACATAACAAAAAGTATCGGAGAGAGCGGGCAACCCTGGCGCATCCCATTGCGAATGTTAAAGCCAGCAGTCAATGCTCCATTCACTCTCACCGAAGCACGTGGTTTGCTGTATAGTGCAGCTATCCAAGTGAGCAATCCCATGCACTTCAGCGTAGCCATCATATATGGCCAGTGAACGCGATCAAAGGCCTTTTCGGCATCCGTTGACAGCAAGAGCATGCGTTGGTTCCTCTTTCTCGCAAGATGTTGTATAGCAAAACGTTGCAAGGTGCTATCCCGTGCCTCACACTCAGGAATAAAACCAGTCTAGTCTGCGTGGATCAGGTGCGGCAGAACCAACTGCAGCCTAGTTGCCCGAACCTTATTTTTTTCCTTTTTCTATCTTCTTCTCTCTACTTCTGTTTTTAAATTGGACGTTTCATTTTACAATGAGTATTTTACAAAAGTTTTAAAAGTGTTCTCTATTAGAGAAAAAGAGTCTTAAAGGACTCCCCAGATCATGGCACTTTCCCTTCCCTCAACCAATGATGAGAAAAAAAACATAGGGCAGTGGATTTTGTTTTTGGACTTGATAAGTGGACTTGGCACCCAATATTTGATGTGAACTTTTAAAACATGAGTAAATAAATTCTAGTATCCTAGATCGTCTTATATGGATTTGATTCATTCAAGAAGCTTCTTTTAATGGTATATACGAGTATAGAATGATGAAGTTATATAGATATATATTTTTTATTTCCACATGTACTTTTCTCATTTTATGCACCTTGTCTGTATAGCTGAAATACTCACAAGGGGATGCTTGGGACATCCATAGGAATCATCTTATGCATTTGTGTCCTTTATAGGACTTCTTCACAAATTATTAAACATTACTATATAATATTGCACTCAAACATGATTTTTTTATATATATATGAAAAAGACATTTAGGACATGTAATTAGGTATTTGGAGAGTTTACCATGTAAATTGCATTCACTGTGTGGAGAACAAGTCTCCACTTAGTTAATTAGCTTATTTTAACTATTATCTCAAAAACCCATGTGGCTTCACTTCTGATTATATCAGGAAGTGAGCAACAACTGAATATTTATTACTTTTTTTATTAGCGTGAAATTAAAAAACAAAATCGTTTCTAACACATTTTATTACAAAAGGACAAATCTTCAAGAGACCAATCTTACTTTGACCCCCTCACTGGATCAATATTTCCTCAAATAAAATCTTTATCCCAAACATCTTCAATATATTTGAAATTTCATAAAGTAAAAATACCAGTTTGTTAGTTATTAAAATAGAGTTTATTTGAACTTTTATTTTACATAATGAAAAAATAAAAAGGCAATTATTGATAAGTTTTAGTTTGAAGCGATGGTGTTCTGTATCCAGTCGATGTAGTTGCAGACCTTGGTGTAGACTCCAGGATAATTCCTCAGAGCACAGCCATATCCCCAGGAGACCACACCCTGGAGCTGACCATTGCAGATCACGGGACCCCCAGAGTCACCCTGGAGGAACATGACAGAGACAGTTAGATGTGGGTATATTAATCGCGAATAATCTACATGTATAAAAATATCTCAATACATGCACGTATACTGACTACTATATATACATGTTAAATATTTAGAGTCATGGCTGGAAATATTACCTGACAAGCATCTTTGCCACCTTCAATGAAACCAGCACAGAACATGTTACCAGTGATTTTCCCGGGGTAGGAAATGCTGCACTCTCTTGTTGTCAGAATGGGGGCATCGAGACACTGCAGGAGATCTGGGTAATTCGCTAAAACAAAACAAGTTTTAGTTCATTGTAATTATTATCATACAAGCCAGACTGAAAACTTAATCAATTCTTAGCCATTGGTCAAAAATACAGTGTGGCTCCATGAGTTAAATGACTGGAGAGCTACGTATGCTTCATTAAATAGAGACTGTATGGATTGGCTGATGAGATAAGAAAATGTCCTATATCTGTCTCAATAATGAGTGCACTACGAGAGAGAAAAAAAACAATCTGTGTATCCATTAGCAGTTTTTAGGGATCAGACTAGCTTGACCAGTTGGTTATTCTCTGTAGTTAATGAAAAGTGTATCTAATTTATTGTATTATCAATAGTTCTGAATAAAACTCAAACATATATAAATATATATTACTACCCAATACTAATGTCCCAATATACAGCAATTAATCATCATAGGAAACATTTTTATTCTTCTTATTATTTTATACTGCACGTCCATTTTTTCCTGTTATTACTCACTTCCACTGCTGAGTGTGTTTCCCCAGCCAGCTATCAAGCAGCGAGTGCCGGCAGAGGCACAGCTGGAAGGCAGAGGCACAGTCATGACATGAGAGTTGAGGGTAGCTGGGGAGGCAAGTTTGATCAGCATAATATCATTATCTGGGCTCCTGGAGTTGTAGTTGGGATGTTTGATGACCTTTGCAGAGTTAATGAACTGCTCAGTGCCCTCACTCACAGCGATGTTGTGCTCTCCCAGTCTGACCTGAAAGCTCCTGCCAGAGGGAATGGAGGTTAATTACATACATGTTAACAAAACCTTTCTACAACATTTTAATATTTTAACCATCCCATCCAGTCTTTAAGATAAAATAGGAAACTCTTCTCCAGACAGATGTCAAATTGTGTTTCCCTCTAGTGATAAAACATACTTACGCTCTGTAGCAATGCGCAGCAGAGAGCACCCACTGGCTGGTAATCAGAGAACCTCCGCAATCATGGTAACCGATGTTCAGTGATACAATGTATGGGACGGAGTTCTTGGTGCAGGTGTAACCTCCTACAATC